TTTTTTTTTTTTGTACCAGGGATTGAACTTAGGATCTTGTGCTTGCCAGGCAGATGCTTAGACTGCCAAACTACCTCCCCAGCTCATATATAACTTTAAAAAATTAGCATGAATTTACACTGGCTAGTTTTCGTAACTGAGTGTGAAGAACTTGAGTTAGGACAGGGTAGAAGACAGCTGTGTCCACCACTGCTTATGATCTTCCTACTCATCTTTAGCTCTGTGTCCAATGAACTTTCTAGAACATGCACACACCGACACACATACATGCACCCCCCCCCCACAGTCCATTAGTCCATCTTCCACTACAGAATTTTTTTTTTTTTTAAAAAACCAGACATTTGGTACTCTTAAAAAAAATAGAGGGTTATTTAGCTCACAGTTTTGGAGGCTAAAAGTCTATGAACAGCGTGGCAAAGGCCATCATGACAGGAGCATGTGTGAGAGAGATAATCACATGGAAGAATAGGAAGCTAGAGAGACTGTGGGTCAGGCTTGCTCTTTTATAACACCCATCTCAAGAAAACTAGCCAGGGTCCTGCTAGGACTGTATTTGTTCTTTCTGAGTGCAGAGCCCTATGTAACCTCCCACTAGCCCCCCAAAAGCTGTGCTCCCTTCTGCCACCAGCACATTTCCAAAACAAATGCTAGCAAGACACCCAGAGCCATAACCGGACTATTTTTATGTAGAGGGGTGGCTTCTCCATTGCTAGAAGGTTCTTTGGCTCTTCTCAGTGCGTAATGGCTCTCAAGGAAGGGCTGTGTGTATATGTACATTTGCATATCTGTTCTGAAATATTGAGACATTTTCTTGTGTTTTATGTTTTTTTATTTGCTTTGGGAGAATATTCTTTATGAATTCATTACATCTCTGAATGATTAAGTTTAGCCATTTGATGTAGACTGTTATTTATTTTTTGTCTTTTACTCTTCAATATCCTAATTTTGTTTCTCCCTTTCATGGTTTTTTTTAGACAGGATCTTGCTATATAACTTAGGCCGTCCTTGAGCTCACTATGGATTCCAGGCTGGCCTCAAACTTCTGATGATCCTCCTGCCCCAGATTCCAAGTGCAGAGATTACTGATGTGTGCCACCATGCCTGGCTTTTTGCTTCTCTTTCTTTCTCTTTTGTGTATTTGGTACAAGGTCTCACTATGCAGCCTGGACTGAGCCTCATGTTTTTAGCCTCCCCTGTGCTGGGATTACAGGCATGCACCACCATACCTGGATTCAGCCACCAGCTCATTGTGCTCTTGGGCAGAGCTGAGGCGACATGTGGTGCTGGGGCTCAAAACCCCATCCCTGCATTTCTTCTCTTTTTGACTCTTCCCTCTTTGATTTTGTTGTTTGGTTTTTTGGGGAGGGGTGTTACCAGAGATTGAATGGAGGCCTTTATACTGAGCTACATCCCCAGCCATTTTGTGTATTTTTTTTTTATTTTGAGACAAGGTCTTGCTAGGTTGCTAAGTTTCTGAAGTTGGCATGAGCTCAGACTTGGGAATTTTCCTGCCTCTGCCTCCCAGAGTACTGAGCTTACATATTTGCACTACCACACCCCTCCCTCTAATCTTAGGTGGAGAAACACCTGAGTGACTTTCCTGGAAAGAGGAGCAGTTGTCTCCACTTAGGCTGAACCTGGCTCTGTTTCCTTCTATCGATGTGTGCATAGTTGGCTAGGACTTTTCCTTTTCCCTTCAACTGGCTCTAAGCAGCAAGGTGCTGATGTGTGTATGGTCTCTGAAGTAAAGACAGCAGGGCAGTGTGTCATTGTCCCATACCCCTCCACCCTGGTAGCTCCCAGATAAAACACCTGTGAGCTGAGGTGAGCCGAATGCAGAGCTGTGCTCCATGCTATTCACTAGGATTGAGACTTCAGGTAAGAGGCTGTGACTTCCCAGGGTATAAAAGATTACATATCAGAGCTGAGGCGCCAATCACAAAACATTACATTCTACCTCAGTTGTGTTATGCAGATCTCTCTCTCTCTCTCTCTCTCTCTCTCTCTCTCTCTCTCTCTCTCTCTCTCTCTTTCTCTCTCTCTCTTTCTGTGGTATAGGGTCTCACTGCACAGCTTGGACTCGTAGTGGTCAGATTACTCTTTCTACATAGCCTTCTCTACATGTTGCAGAGGTGATTTCAGGCCTCCTGCTCAGGCCACAGTACTTACCTTCCCGCCGTTCTCAGAGTCACTTAATCTCAAGCCCCTCCTTTCTTTATGAATTAATAAAACCCAGGTTTGACCCTGAATCAAGGCCTTTGCTCTTGGTAGCCATCATCATGGCTGGACTTAGGACCCCCTTGGCTCCCCATGACTACAGATACGCTTTAGTGCTTTTATTCTCACCATGGGTTGCACTGAAAGCAGTAGATTGGAATTAACTCACTAGAATTCCAGTAACCTTATATGGGATTACTAATGTAAATTTGAGGACTAAGAAGCACTCTCTATATTCTTATACTCATTTCTTTTCCTTACAAATTTAGAATTCTTTAATCTTTTATCAGTAAATAAAACCAGATTATTATATTTTTTTTTCTGCAGAACCTACTATTTGCAGACTTTGTCTTTTTCCTTTCTGCTGCCTAGCCATGGACATTGCTAATGGTGCCATTTGTACACTGCGTTTTACCTAATCATCTTTCCAAGTGTCTTACTTGGTTTTTGTTGATTTAGTAAGTCAGCAGCTTGAAATCACTTTGACTGCTTTCTCTTTCAGTTTACTATAGTAAGGATTAATTTGTGGGAAAAGATCACATATGACACAATATGACTCAACTAAATAATGTAAGAAACTCTGTGAGCCCCCATTACTTATAGACAGGCCAATTCCTGACTTCACAGTGTTGCTCTAATCTCTGCAAGTTGGGCATTCTGGATGTGTTCTCCCACAAAAATGCTGTGTATCTTGGCTTGGCCACTGAGGCATTCAGAGCATATTATTAATTTCTTAATATATATTTAATGTTAATAATTACAGGGAGTTTTTGTTTGCTTTGGGTTTTCAATGGTTACTAGGGTTTGAACCTAGGGACCATTGAGCTATATATATATGGCCATATTTTTATGCTTTCATTTTGAGACAGGATCTCACTAAATTGCCTGGGTCTCAAACTTATGATCCTCCTGTATCAGCCTCACAAGTGGCTAGGATTACAGGCATGTACCACCCTACCAGCTATAACAGAGTTTCAGTTGGGAATTATTTCAAAAATAGTATTAGCAGCTGGGAGTGGTGGTACACGCCTATAATCCCAGCACTCAGGAGGCTGACCCAAGAGGGTAGCCACACCTTTGAGGCCAGCTTGACTACATAGTTCAAAGGCACCCTGAGCTACATAGCAAGACCCTGTCTCAAACAAACAAACGAAATTATATTATTAGGAGTATTAAGAACACATATTGTCTCTTACATCCTAGGCAGCTACTGTTTTGGGCTCCACCCTTCAGTCCATGTTTGGAAGGAGGAACTATCAAGAAGGTAGAAGGTTGTGTGGGTCTTCTGGTAGATCTTACAGTGAAGTGGCAGGGAGGCTCAAGTCTTCTAAGGCTGGAGGCTAGACAGAAGGGATGTGGGCAGTGTGGGGCAGAGGGCATACTGACAGGAGTGGCTGTCTTGGCAGTAGTGAAGAGCATGGAGAGGTCATAAAGGACAGCAGAAACCTCTAGTTTCTGCTTTTTCTCTGGGAGAGAGGAGGAACAGAGTATATGGGGGACCTATAGTGACTTCTCAGGCTTCTCCGTTAAGCCCCTTTACTATGTCACCTTTTTTCCCCTTGATCTTTTCCTTTTCTTCCAGTGGCCAGGAATGACTCTGCAGTTAAGTGTTCTGTCAGTAGGGTTGTTGGAGAAAGTTCTGCTTGGTGTTTTGCTCATGTCCCCTCCCTTCTTCTCTTTGTCCATTTTGGGGAGCATAAGGTTTGAGAGCCTGAAAGAGGAAGGGGAAAAAAAGAGACTACTGTAGCTATTAAAATTGTAGATTCCTACAAGAGTTGTAGGCATACTCTTTAGGCATCTTATGTTCCAAAATGTACCCTTTGCTACCTGATTGTTTACTGTTACTGTTCTCTGGTAGTTTGCAGTCTAACCTGTATTCTAGCCAACAGTCTTGAAAGAAGAGACCATGTTACCTAACAAAGCCTGGAAGCATACAATTTAGTGTGTTGAGTTTGCGTGATTGTATTTCAGGTGTTTTTAGTCTTTCTGGTGATGGCATTAGGTGTTGTTAGTGGTAAGTGCATACTGATATTTGATTATCAAGAATTTGGTCAACAGAGCCTCAGCTTTTGAGTTTTCAGTCAGGCCCTGCTGCCTTCACACTGTCACTGTCCTCAGCTTGTCATCTGTGACATGTGGCTCCACCTATCTGCATTAAAGACTTTCTAGAGGGCCAGGGAGATGGCTCAGTAGAGTAAGTGCTTACCTGGCAAGCGCAAGGGCCTGAGTTCAATCCCTGGTTCTGCAAAAAAAAAAAAAAAAAAATTTAAAAAAGACTTTCTAGGGAGATTGAGAGTGGTGTATAGGAACTACTCAGTAACTGTGATTTAGTTCTTCATTCCTGAAAGTTTTATTTTTGTCTGGATTGTTGAACTGTATACCCTTAACAGCTCTGATTTATTCTTGTTTAATTGGATTGTTGATAAACATTTAGTTTGGGACTAACAATATATTCTTAATTTATTCTCTGTTAAATTAAGTCAACCAAAAAAAAAAAAAGTAAGTCAGCCAAAAACATTCGTCAGGAAGAGCTGCCTAATTTTAAGAATACATGAAAGTGACATCTTTAAAGTAATTTTACACAAATAAAAAATATTTTAATTTAAGTATATTACTTTAGGTACTATTTATTAAACATACATGATTAACCAAAATTTAAATAAATGAAAACTAAGAATCTCACCCCTAGAGCAAACAGTTCTTACTGTTCTATCACCCCTTCTAGACCATTTATTATGTATCTTAACAGTCACTTTTTATAAAGCCATTTGCTTTGTCTCTAGGTGTAAAACAAAGGTGTATCCAGATAATCTTCCAACAACAAGTGTGGTGATTGTTTTCCACAATGAGGCCTGGAGCACACTTCTTCGAACTGTTCATAGTGTCATTAATCGCTCACCAAGACACATGGTAGAAGAAATTGTCCTAGTAGATGATGCCAGTGAAAGAGGTAAATTTTAATTTTTAATACCAATAACATACTATACTCTTTGTCACTAACAGTTTATAATATAGTTGCTGTAATTTTTAACTTAAAAATGTTTGGGGCATTTGGACTCATTCATGTGTGGAAAGGTATACTGTTGTGAAATGCTTGAAAAAGCATTTTAAGTATTTCATTTGTGTCTTAATCTTATTTTGGAAAGAAAGAATGCTTTACAATATAAATGTTGATGTATAACAGTTAAAAAAAACCCACATAATTTTGTTAGAATTTTTTCTGTAGGAAGCTGTAGCCCTGAGTTAGTGGAAAAAAACTAGATCCTGCTTACATCAGTGGAGAAATTTAGTTCTGTGTATAATAGGAAGTACAGTATCTTTGACAACAAAATGAACTCTAAAGTGAAAGAACCTTAATTCTTCCTATGTTCTAAACTTTCCCTGTTATCTTCATTTATGAGTTTCAGAATCATTCATAGCTAGGTGCGTTGAAAGATTAAGACAGATGTTACATAATGTCACTCTAACATCACCATGTCTATGATGACTTTTTCCCAAATAGCAGAGTCAGAATTTTTTGCAAACTTCCAGTCTCATAACCTGATTCATGAAACACTTTTGATATTAATCAAAGGCACCTTAGGAGTGCTGTACTTTTTCTGAATTCTTGGAGATTTCACACTAGAGAGTACTATTAAAAAACATATAAGCCATCAATAAAGATACTTGTTAAACTCAGAAACCCAGTATTTCCCAATTTTTTTTCTATAACACAACTTTTTAGGAATTATTGGCTGCATGTGTTCCTCCAGTAGTCTTCTGTTCACATAAGAATTTGGAGAGAATTACAAAGAAATACCTTTTCTTCCTTCCTTGACTATGTTTAAGCTTTATGATCCCTCATATCTTCAACTTTTTTGTCTGTCCTGTCATTGTATTTGCTAAGATGGCTTCAGTATTATATACCCACTTCCTGTTCCCACTCTGAATATATAATTAATAGTGTTTAGTGCAATTTATGTGTTGATAACAATTTAAATTTTATTTCACCATATTATATGAATAATATAGAATTCTTTATTATATATACATATGTGTGTGTGTGTGTGTGTGTGTATATATATATATATATATATATATATATAGTAAGTTCTCTATATCATAGAATAAGATAGAGTTCTACTTTCTCAAGTGCATAACCTAAGTAAAGATACAATTTAGGGCTGGGAATATAGTTCAGTGGCACAAGCAAGTGATTTGTTTGAAAAATAAAGAATTTATAATCATACAAGACATACCAGTCGTATAATACATATTAAATTCTCCAGATCCAACCATCTTCCTACAATATTCCATTATGTGTGTGTATATCTTTCATTCATCATCTGTGTGGGGCACTCAGACTGGTTCAATATCTTAGCTATTGTGAATTATGCTTCAGTAAACAGTGGTATGCACATATTCCTATAGTATGCCGACTTTAGATGTAGCCTTCAGATATATACCAAGGAGTAGTATTTTAACTAGATGAGATGGTAGTTGTATTTTTAGTTTTTTAAGGAGCCTCCATATTGGTTTCCATAGTGGTTGTACCAACTTATTCTCCTCCAGAAGTGTAGAAGGGCTCTTGTTTCCCCATATCCTTGCTAGCATTTATTGTTTATATTCTTTGTGATAGCCATTCTGACTGAGGTGAGATGGAGTCTCAGTACTGTTTGCGTTCATTTCCCTAATGGCTAAAGATAACTGAATATTTTGCACTTATTTATTGGGCACTTGTACTTCTTTTGAGAAGTGTCTGTTCTGTTTGTTTACTCATTGATTGGGCTATTTTATTTTTTGGTGTTAAATTTTTGAGTGCTTATATATTCTAGATATTAACCTTCTGTCAGAAGAGTGACTGGCAGTGGCACAGGCCTATAATTATAGTACTTGGAAGATTAAGGCAGGAGGATTGTTGCAAGTTTGAGACCAGCCTGGACTGACTACATGGCAAGACCCTGTCTCAAACACACACACACACACACACACACACACACACACACACACACACGAAGAGGAGGAGGACTGGCAAAGATTTTCTCTCATTCTGTAGGCTGTCTCTTCACTCTGTTGTTTTCCTTTTTATGAAGCAACTTCAACTGATATAGTCCCATTTGTTGATTTTTTTGATATTACTTTCTATGCTGTTGGAGTCCTCTTTAGGATATCTTTCCCCGAGCCTGTAGCGTCAGGTGTTCCTCTTAAATTTTATCCTGTCAGCTTCAGTGGTACAGGTATTATACAAAGGTCTTTGACCCATTTTGAATTGATTGTTGTTTGTACAGGATGAAAGATGTTTATCAACTACCATCATAAATGTTGTCCACTGTTGATCAACATGTTCATTATGTAGCACATGACCTACAAACATTTAGCCTGACAGAGATTTTTTTTCTTGGTTTACTTATGTGTTGATATTTACTAAATTAAGTATTCCTCAAGGAAAGATGGTTTTCATAAATAAAACTATTTTTCTATTTCTTCCTTTGGATTTTTTCTTGCTCTATGAGTACACAGGAATGATATGTAGATAGTAGGATATGGCTTCATTAGATGTGCGTGTAGCCACAAATGATAAAGAAAGTCACATAAGCTAGCTGCCCTCCTTTTACTGTGAAGACCAGAGAGAGAGAGAGAGAGAGAGAGAGAGAGAGAGAGAGAGAGAGAATCAGTCTCTCTCGACTCTCTCTCTCTCTCTCTCTCTCTCTCTCTCTCTGCTCAACTCTGAGAACAACTCAGTATTGTTTCCTGTAATTCAAATTGCAGGCTTGCTACTCAGACTGAGAATTACTTGACATAATTTTCTTTGGCACCATTACTTAAGTGGTAATTGTTGGGCCGAGGAACCAGAGCAAATGCTTTCCTTTATAAATCAGCTTTTTCCTACTCATGAGATATGGGTCTCCATTATTTCTCACCTGGACTGCTAAAATAAACTAACCAGTCTGTCTTTCCGCAGTTTCACATCTTCCCATCTGTCCACCACAGTACATGCAGAGCTACTTGCAAATGTGATGATGTAACCTCTCTGATTGAAGACTGCATGACTAGCCTCCATCCAGCATCTCTAGTCATGGCTCAATCCATTCCCTGCCACTTCGTTCCCACATTTCTGTCTTTTGTCCCTTGTCTTCTTTGAGAGTGTCCTCTTTCCTACCTCAGGACCATCACCTGTGCAAGAGCTGTTCCCTGTTCTACAGCACTGTCCTCTAGGAAATCTTCTTCTACCATCTGTAGCACTGTTAATATCTAATCACGGGGCTCAGTAGAATAAGCGCTTCCCTGGCAAGCACGGGGGCCTGAGTTCAATCCCCGGTTCCACAAAAAAAAGAAAAAAAGGAATATCTAATCACACTTAGAGCTCATCTCAAATGTTACTGATTTAGAGAGGGATTTTTTCACCTCCCTAGGCCCTGCCATGTCCCTCTTCACACATCTTGGTACACTCTACTTTGCATCAGTGTTCATTAGAATTTCAGTTATTGCCTTTAATGTCTGCCTTCCCTTACTAGACTAACCCCCTCCATCAGAGCCATTAACTCATATTGTCTGTCTCCTCAGTGCCCACAGTGCCTGTTACATAGTACACAGTATAGAATTGAGTGAATGAATGAATGAATGATCTTCATTCATGGTCTTAGGATACTTGATTTCACAATTAACCTGAGTAACTACACCAGAGAAGTACGAGGTAGATTCTACAAGTTTCTGTTTTATTGATGAGCACAATGGGAGCAATGGAGAGTACCCAAGCTTAGTAAACCCAGGACTTGACTTAACCAGTATGTACCTTACTTCTGATGGCCTCTGTTGAAACTTTTATCTTATAAAATCTGTATCAACTTCAGGATCTGAACTAATCCATAGTTTATGTCTGAAATTCTATAACTGAAACCTCAGAAGCTCATCTTAAGACTTAGAATTTATATACTATTTCTAGTCTGAGATGATTACTGTTTTTCTTGTTTTACACAGAAGGAAGGTAAACTAGAGCCAGAGTTCCTGAACTCTAAAGTCCTCACACTTCCTACTGTACTGTAAAGCTCCAGCTAATATTTTTTAGATGTTTGTACAGTGAAATTTTTCCTGACATTCTCACCCTCTGACAGCCTCAGGCTTCCTGATCAATCCTTAGGGTCCACGTGTAGGACAGTAGTTGTAAAGGTATTCTTACAAACAAGATTCACCCTTATTTTTAAGTGAAATTATACTTCCTAATCATAATTTCTCATGGCTTTGTTCTTGTAGCATGGGGCTTGACAGTTCCTGTTCTCCTATCTAACCATCATCCCCTTAAGTCTTTATCAACTGAAAGGAGAACACTTATTTCTTAGTTTTGCTGCATGAAATCCATAATTGGAGTAATCATCACAGAATCATGCATTTTTCATAGACAAAGTAGTACAACTTTTAAAGATACAGGACTTGAGGATTAGATTGCTTTGATTTTTAAAAAACAAATTTTTAAAACATTCTAAGTTTAAACAGTGTTGACACAAACAGCTGATAACTCAAATTACAATGACAAGCAGAAAGTCAACTAGTACAGGTTTGGCTGACTTAAGTAAGCATCTCCCCTAAAACGTAAGAACTAAGAGCCAGGCAACAGGTAATTCTTTGAAAAATGTATATAGATGAAAGGCTGTAGAAGCGCACATTGCACCAACACTCTTCCTGTATTAGCTAAGGTTATAGATATAGATTATAGATAAATTCTATTTAAAAAAAAACTCCTTGGGAGAAGCATTGATTATTTTATATCAACTTTGATTTAAGATACCAGCATACGGGTAGGTGGATATTCAAGAAGGGGGTAGTGAATGAAAGCAAGAGACAGGAAAAGGAATATTGTGGGACTGTCCTGCTTCAAGGTTGTATATGATGAGATTTTTGGACTTATGTGCAAACATGAGAAGTATATAATTCTTTATCCTATTTTTAAAATATAATTAATTTTTGAAATGTTTTTATCATATTATGCAGGGACTTAAAGTTCAACATATCAATACTTGATGAAAAATACCTGCTCCTTATTATGCCTAAGATGTTTGAATGCAGTGAGATAGTGAGGTTAAGCTTGATAGTCTAAATCTTTTGATAATAACAATAAGCTTGTCTTCTGGATGGTTAACAACCTAAGTTTGCAGACCAAAATTAGAGAAAAAGGAGGGCTACAAGGAATGCCAACATTTTGGCCCTAGCCTTCTAAGGTCCATTAAGACTCAGGACATATGAGAACTTGTACTGTAACATCATGTATCTCAGTAGTGTCCCAAATTTTCTGATCAAGAAGATTATGGGGCCAAAGAGGAAAGTGATCGATGACGTAGAGTGTGCCTAGGGAGAGTCACATGGGGAGAAGACACTCTCTCAGGCTTTCACAGAGAGCACATTGGCCAAGCAATGGCCGTGACTCATCCACATGGCTGCACTGATAAAGGTTCTACAATCTGAGGTACAGGATCTCAGGATAAATCCTGAGGGCATTTCACTGACCTTCTCAGACCAAAAAGCTACAACTCTTGTTGCATAGGTCCTGCTTTACCTTGTTCTTAACCATCCAGTAGAAAAGTATGAAGACGAAATATAGGAAATGAAGCCATGCTGTTAAGTTGAGCTGTGGGGGACTCAGGTCAATAATTTCTGACATTGCCAGTTAAACAGAAGACCCAATACTATTATGGGCTACTGGACTCTTAGAATATTTTGCTGAGTTTACACACCTATAATATTCAATAACGGAACTTAGAAAAAATGGGGTATACCGATGAATGTCCATTTTGTATCTGTGTATTCAAAGTGGTTAGGATAGATATATAGTTGCATTCTCTTAATGAATAGAATGATTTGTTCTAATGGTGTTTATAAATAGGATCACAAGTCCACTTCTTGTACAGCAATTAACCACTAAGAAGAATATATGTAGTGTATTATTTGTTGAAACTGTACTTCTGATTTGATTTGAAACTGTCTCATTGCTATCTGTTTATCAATAAAACTTTGAAAAAAAAATAAAAAATAAAAAAAAATATACCAGCATATATCCCTGGTCAATTTCCAGACATAAACTGTAAATTTACATCAGATCAAGCATTTCTAAACTCCTGAATTCTTTTCTTCAAGGATTTTCTTGCTATGGATACAAAGGTAGGACTTGAAGTCAGGCAGATGTTGGATTAATTTTGAGTCCAGCCCTTAACCATGTTTCCTGGATCAAATTTGTTTAGCATTCTGAGTTTCATTTCTAGTATGCATAGTAACACTTAACTCTACAGAGTGGTTGTGAGAATAAGCCTATAACTAGCACTGTGCTAAAAATAGTCTCAGAATGTTAGGAGGTACTGCAAAATGGTGCTTTGCTCTGAAATTGGCCCTGCTTACACTTTTTTTTCTCTTTTCCCATGGATGTACCCACCTCTTTACTCAGGATCTGGTTAGGTCTTTCTGACCTTAAGGCTTAGTTCATAAAAGTATAAAAAAATTTTTTTTAGCTATTCTCTGTAGCTGAAATACTTGGAAATTTGTTAGCAGAAATGGAAATTATTAATAATCTAGTGTGATGGGACATGTAGACCTTTTTGTCTTTCACAGATTTCATGTCCCTGATTATTTCATTATTGACCCATTCTGATCTTACCAAACAGGCAAAAATTATTTCATTCCCATTTGAGCTCCCCATCCTACCATATAGAAAGTGCCTTGAATCCCTACCTTTAGTGTTTGAAAAGCCCTTTGATACATACATCCAGACTTCTGTGAATCACTAAAGTCCTGTTGAACAGATCTAGTCATAGGAATTCTGCTAGTTCTTTCTCAGGTATTTCCTTCTGTAGAGAGAGTATCCTCATGCTTATTGTATGGAGACTAAGTGGAAAGATATGTGGCCATATCACCATCAGTGGCTTCTCTGCTATGAATCCTACAGAATAACCTGAGCCAAAAGATCTTTTCTCTCTACTTTGAGTAAGTTGCACATTTTCTATTGCTTTTTAAAGTCAGTTGTAGACTGGGCATGGTGGTGCACACCTGTAATCCCAGCACTTGGGAGGCTGAAAATAGGAGGATATTGTGAGTCCCTGTAGACCTTGTACTAAATATGAACAAACGAAAGAAAGTCGTGCACTTTGAAGCTGGGACATCCTTCCCTTATGGCTTGATCTTATCGGACCTCTTCAGGATAGTTCTTTTTCCTCTTTCTCCCCTCATTTTAGTTATCTTTCCCTCTTCAAAAGTTTTTTCATTGAATCTTCTTGCCTTTTGAAGGCCTCTCTTCTCTGTTCAGCTTGATCTCACTTCCTGAGTCCTGATACAAGAACTGGTGATTACAGACCTTGGTGATCTGCAGGCAGTTTGTTTCTGTATCTGAAGAAATCTCACAGTTCTCAGAACTGTAACAGCTGTGGCATGTTCCATTCCTTCTTTCTGTGGAGGTCTGAGTTTAATATTCTTGAACTGCTTTTTTTCTGTTGCTGATCCTTAAGCATGATTAAGAAAAGAAGCAGCAGGCCTGACAGAGAGTTACCAAAGTGTGGTGACATCCTGTCCTTGGTCATTCCTGAGACAAAGGTGCTGTCCTAGTTCCACCTGTAGTAAAGTAGAGGCTACTATAGTCCATGCTGTCAAAAACCAAAAAGACTTCTTTAGTGAAATGCATCTGTGTGGTGCTGGAAATACTCGATAAATATGGTAAGGCAATGATTGCATATCACTCAGGCATGGTGGGACTTGGCTATAATCCACCACTGCGAAGGCTGACACAGGAGGATCACCATGAGTTCCAGGCCAGCCTGGGCTCCATAGTGAGTTCATGGGCACCCTGCAATACAGAATGAGACCCTTTCTCCAAAAAATGGCATATCAAAGTTGCTTGCAGTAATACCAGTTAACTGTTTTTTTCGTGATGTTTTCATTTTATTAATTTTCAGATTTTTTGAAAAGACCTCTAGAGAGTTATGTAAAAAAACTAAAAGTGCCAGTTCATGTAATTCGAATGGAACAGCGTTCTGGACTGATCCGAGCGAGATTGAAAGGAGCTGCTGTCTCCAGAGGCCAAGTGATCACTTTCTTAGATGCCCATTGCGAGTGCACGGTGGGATGGCTGGAGCCTCTCTTAGCCAGGATCAAACATGACAGGTAATTTCTGGAGTTTGTAGGTTTGTTCTTGGTAGATTTGTCCTAATTTTATGGTGAGTTGTAAAATTTGGTATTTTAAAAGAAGTACAAAAAATAATTTCCTTTTAAGTTGCCTATAAAATGCCCTAAAAAGCACTGGTAATGAAATGTAAAGGCCACATGCTAAGGTCTTGCAGGACAGTTTGCAAATTGTCTTGTTAATGGAGATGGACTGGAAAGCATGTTGCTAGAATATAAACTGTACACTCTCTTTACCAAACTGGAAGAGAACAGATGGACAGAAAACTCAAGGCAGGATAAAACCTTTACTTGTCCTTGCTCTCTAATGTTAATACTAGGGCAGGCAGGTTATCTCTGTCTTCACTGGAACTATAGCCTTCATCTTAAAGCAAACCAAGAATTAGAAGGGAGAGAAGCCAAGTGTGTCAGGACATAGTTCAGTGTGTATAGTAAAGTACTGTAATCCTAGCTAATACAGGAAGAGCATTGGTGCAATGCGTGCCTCTACAGGCTGTCATCTATATATATTTTCCAAGAATTACCTGTTGCCTGGCTCTTAGTTCTTATGTTTTAAGGGAGATGCTTAAGTCAGCCAAACCTGTATTAGTTGACTTTCTGCTTGTCATTGCAATTTGAGTTCTCAGCTGTTTGTGACAACATTAAATTTAGATTTTTAGCTTACTCTAGATTGATTGTAGAATAAGCTTTACCAAGTGAAAAGTGGAGAAAGTAAAGCCACTGCTTTAATTTTCTGTATTCTACTTGCTGGCAAGTGCTAAACTGTATCTCTTCTTTTAAAAAAATGAATAAGCAAATCCAGCATTGGACTACCAGCTTTAAGAAAGAGAATGTTACCCAGAAGAAATTGTTTTCTGTGAATAGTAGATTATTTACTTTAGGAAATACTTGTTGTTTGCATAAAGATAATCCGTACCCCTTAGGAACAGGAACCTGAGCTTGTGGAGAGCATTATGAGATGATGACAGTGTAGAAGGGAATTGACTGAAATAACATAGTGACTTCCAGTGTGGGCTTTGTGGTAGATCAGACATCCTAAGTAACATGTTTCAACTGGTAAGGCTAAAATGGTGGCTAAAATAGAGATTTTTAGATGTTGTCACAAAAGGTAGAAATTTGCAGATCTCATAATGAGAGCAGATGAGCAGTACAAATACTGAAGTCATCTTTCACCAGGAGAAATTATACTGCTTGTGCCTTGATATGAGCAAGATGAGAAGATAGATGAAGTCAGTACCCTAACTAAGGAATATTAATAATACCTGTGAAATCTGTACTTTAGTATAAACGAGAATGAGAAGTAGATTTGACCATATTGAACTTGTTTGCCTCAACTTTGGTATGGGATAGAAGAGGAAAAATAACTCCCATAAGGTTCTATAAACGGAGTGTGGGGGGGGGGGAATGGGAAACAACCAAACTTTCTGAGTCTAGCATAACTTTACTTCAAAAAATCAGAAAAAAAAACTATAGCTCAAACTCTTTTAGGGACCAGGGAGATGGCTCAGTGGAATAAGTGCTTCTCTGGCAAGCGCAGGTGCCTGAGTTCAATCCCTGGTTCTTCCACAAAAAATAAAAACAAACAAACAATCAAACTCTTTTGTGATGCTAGTGCAAAAATTTTATATAACAGCAAGCTGAATCCAGCAGTGTGTGAGACATATATAAAATACATATATAAATGTTATAAATAATATTAATGTAATATTACAAAACCCATTCATGAGCCAGCACACCTGTAATCCCAATTAGTCAGGAGACTGAAGGAGAGGGATTGCAAGATTGAGGCTAGCTTAAACAACTTAACAAGACCCTGTCTCAAACTTAAAAAAAAATTTCTTTAAAAGGACCAGGGGATGTAGCTTAGTGGTAGAGTTCCTGCCTAGCATGTGTCAAGGGCCCTGAGTTCCATCCATAAGCACAAAATAAAGTAGCAGCAAAAATAAATGAATAAACATTAATTTATGGAGTATACCCTATTAGCACATTTTAAAAACAGTAATTTTAATATGTGATTATTTCCATAGATAAAAATGTATTCACCAAAATTTAACATCCAGTTTATTTTCTAAGTTTACTTAGAAAATGCTTAGTAAACTGTTACAGAATAGAAACGTACAGATCAGAGGAAAAATAGCTTGGGGGTGGAGAATACCTCAGCAGGCAGACACCATATAAGTGGGAAAATGTTGAAAATATTCTTAAAAAGATGTTGAACAAAATAAAACCCCTCAAAAAAATAAAGTTCAGAATCACCACTGTTAGTATCATTAGAACTCTTTGCAGTATAGTGAGTGATACAGTGAGGGAATGAAAGAGTATTGTTGTAAGAGAAAACAAAACAAGTGTTGTGCATTACAGAACATAATGCTTGCCTTTGAAGAAAAATAATTCTGCACAAAACAATGAAATTAGTAGTGTTGGGCCAAATATGATACCACTATAGAAAAATGAAATGTCTTCTCATACCAACAAAGGATGGTTAAAATGTATAATGTAAAAAGATACCATTTATAATAGCAATAGAAAACATAGACTTATATGTACTTAGGAAGGTATTTATTAAAAGATGCACAAAATATAAAACTACTTAGGTTTTCGGAGTTTTTTGAGACAGTGTCTCCCCGTGTAATCTGGATCGACCTTGAATTTGCTGCGTAGCCCAAGGTAACTTCAAATTTACAATCCTCCTACCTTAGTGCTGGAGTGCTGGAATTACATGCATGTGCACCACTCTCCACTTTTGAAAAATAAAACTATCCAAATGAATTGAAAGATAATCCAAATGGAAAGAATGTTGATGCTTTGATGTAGGAGGTAGCAGTGAACTTACTCACCATTGTTTTTGACACGATAGAATATATTTTTTATTTTAAAAACATAGTATACAACTTAAATAGATGTTACCGTCAGTAAGGACATTTTTAAAAGCTTTTAAAATTTGTTTTTATGATTATAGAAGAACAGTGGTGTGTCCTATCATTGATGTGATCAGTGATGATACATTTGAGTATATGGCAGGCTCTGATATGACATATGGTGGATTCAATTGGAAACTCAATTTTCGGTGGTATCCTGTTCCTCAAAGAGAAATGGACAGAAGGAAAGGTGACCGAACTCTTCCTGTCAGGTAATTCAGTTACGCTTATCATAAAGCACTGTCAGTAGAGCATTGTGACACTTTGGGGAGCATCATCAGTGTATGGTTTTTTGGGGGGTCTTTTATTGGGAAAAAAAAAGTACTTATTTAGAGTTAGCCAGCTGGATTCAGTTTAGATGATGCCAATTTTGTTGGCAACATCCGAAGTATCATAATCAGGAGTGAGTTGAACATATACCTTCTTCTCTCCATCAGGCCTGATTAGGGTATTGACCTTGGCAACATCGATGTCATACAGCTTTTTTACAGCTTGTTTGATCTGGTACTTATTGGCTTTGACATCCACAATGAACTCGAGTGTGTTGTTGTCGTCCTCAATCCTTTTCATGGCTGCCTTTGTGGTGGTGGTGGGGGACTTGATGATGGCATAATGGTCAAGCTTGTTTCTCCTGGGGGCGCTTTTCCAAGAGTGTTTGGGCTGCCTCTGGAGCCACAGTGTCTTGGAACAGCAGAAGGTGGGAGACATTCATATCTTCTCCTCCTTTTTGTGGTTGTAGATGCCTTTCAGCACAGCCTTCTTGGCCTTTAAAGCTTTTGCTTGGGCCTCAGCTTTGGGAGGGGCAGGGGCTTCCTTCTTCGCCTTCGGTACCATCTTGGTAAAAAGGCTCCTCAGTAGCATATGTTGAGAAACAGAAAGCATTGTGTATGGCATATGTAATTAAGAACCATATATCAGTATTTTAAAGAGATAAAATTTAATAAAATTTTAATAAAATCTAGCCATTTACTAAAATCTGAATTTTCATTCTACAAATGTTTACATAAGAAATGATGACAACATATATATTCTTCCATCACTATACAGACATTTTGCTGATGTGTAAGTCCAGTCTGTGCTTTAATTCAGTAAAGATAATATGTACCTTGAGTCAAGCAAATGCTGCCTAACCCATTTATGCCAAAGATTGCAATGTTTAAATTTTTTGCATGGAAATCATATATATTACTACCTAGAAAAATTCAAGGAACAAGAATTTGAAGAAGAAAATTTTCGTTGTGTTCCACTGTTGTATGTCACTCCAAAAATGGAATAGTAGGAATGAAAGCATTTTGTCACTATATGAAAATATCACTGAAAACTGGATCTCTGTGTCTGTAAGATTTTTATTAAGACTGGTACAGTTAGAAAATATTTTTCAAATATAAATAACTAGAAATAGCATAAAATACAAAAAGAATTTTCTTAATATATTTTCTGATTTTTCTTTTGTTCCAAACCTCATCATATAAATGGTCCTTGTGCTGGCAGGGCATGAAATTGAAACCTTTGAGCTTTCTATGCTGTCCTAGGATTTTCATCCCAGCCACATTCTCCTGTTTCTTCTATAGTAATTAAGAGTTCTTCCGGTTCCTTCAGAATCAGGCTCTTTGTCCCATCCTGGGCTTCTCACATCTGTTTTTCCATGAATCCAAGCCTACTTTTGGTAAAGTTGTAATTTTTCACTGTGTTCTTTTCCCAAGCCAACTTGAGTGCTTAGCAGTGCAGTGGACTTTCCCTCTTTGTAGCTGTTAGTTCAGTCTAAATCAAGGGTTCTTGAGTATTTTGAAGGTAAGAAACTTCTTTGAAAATCTGATTAAAGTTATGGGTCATCTCTGATGGGGTAAAATACATCCCCTTATGGAAAAGCTTAGCAGATCAAGAATTCAGGAATCCCCTAAACAATAAACAATAATTCTGGATGTAAGTCTGCTTCTTTTAACTCCTACAATATTAACTCTTTCTCATTCTTTTTCTCTTCTAAAATCAAAGTAAGTCCAGGTCATTTGGGGGAAGCTATTTATAGTAGAAAGATCAGTACTGCTATTGTAAGCAGGGCATGGACATTCTAGTATTATAGAGGTGACCAGTTCTTTTTTTGAGACAGGGTCTCACTGTGTAGTGCTGGCTGGCCTTGAATTCACTTATGCAACACAAGATGGCCTCAAACTCACAGTGATCCTCCTTCCTCAGCCTCCCAAGTGCTGGTCTTATAGGCATGCACCACCACTCCTGCCAGTTCATCTTAAAATAATGATTGATTTTGTAGTATCTTCTAACACAAGAGACATCATCACCATGCCTGGCTTTATTTAAAATCAAATTAGAACTTAGTTTTTCCTAGCTAAAGTCTTTTTTTCTACATTCTCATCCTTTGTAGAAGTGATTAACAAAAATAAATAATATTTAAATCCTCCTTCATGCCAGGTATGGTATCACACACTCTAATCCAAGTACTCTGAGTAGCAGATAAGAGGATCATTGTGAATTTGAGGCCAGCCTGGGCTACATACTGAGCTCAAAGCCAGGCTGAAGTATATAGTGGGATCCTGTCTCAAAACACAATCAATCTGTCAGTCAGTCTTCCTTCATTATCATTTAGCTGCTTGATCCCACCTTTCCCTTTCCCAGTTCACCCCTTTGTATGTCTGGGCTGTGTTTGATGACTTGGGCTCTTCTCAGGACGGTGCACTTTATAGGAATATATTGCTTCTCTTTTGTACTGCATGTCTTCCTTTCCTTGAAAGAAATAGAAACTAAGGAGAAGAAAGGGCCTCATTGTTTTCAAACTGCTCAGTCTTACATCTTTAGAAGCTGGCATGTTAACTCTAATCTGCATCTCATTGGTTAATATAGCTACCTGCCTTTGTAGTTAGTAGAAATGTAGGCAGATGGAGAGGATTGTGGAGCACAGCTTCAATTTAAGGAATTATGAGTAGAAGATAGGACTGAGGACCCAGAGAAGTGATAAAGACCAGAAATAGCTTTTGGATTTTGACAGAGGGAGATGTCTTGGCAAAATCTGTGACAGGGACAGTGGATCTGCCATTCAGCATGACCCGGGTGCATGTGAAGTCTGACTCAGAAAGCCCCTGGGGCCTGTGAAGGTTTTTGAAGAGTATAAGAATAAGCATCGTCCTGTAGTAAAAATGATAATAAACTGGGTAATAAAAAATGGTAATAAAAACAAAACTGGCTTGTAAAGTTTAATTTTCTAAATTTTACTTTTTTATTTTTAAAGAGAATAAAAAAATAGTAACAAACAAAATGGAAACGATACAGAATATCACTAAACAAAATAGGAATTCAGCAGTAGTTGTTATATTGCATCTTGTTCTCTTCAAATTATTTATTCAGATTACTGAATGTAATTTGGTTTTAAAAAGCTATAAAAAATTTAAAAGGAGAGAGAAAAATTCAAGCATTAACTACTCCTTTCGATAGACCAACAGAAATCAGCAGTACAATTATTCAAGCTATCCTACATACACACATACACATTTCTTCCTTCTTCCTTTCTTTCTTTCATCCTTTCCCTCATCCCAGTTGTTCCTCCCTTTGAACAGCTTCTTTCCCTTTCACAGTATATACTGTACCGTTCAGATTTTATTTATTTCAGGTTTTCACACTAGCAGGACAGTATAATGTTTATGCATGTGGGTCTCATTTCATGTGGAGTATGGTCTCTAATTGCGTACATTTACCTATAAAGGACGAGATTATCTTTTTTATAGCTGAGTAATACTCCATTGTATAAAAATACCACATTTTTGTATCCATTCCTCAGTTGATGGGCATTTGGGTTGCTCCAAGATTTATCTGTGACAGATTGTGCTGCTGTAGACATGGGTGCACATATCACTGGGATGTGCTTTCAGTTCTCCTGGAAAAGTTGTAAATTTTAAATCATACAAATTAATGTTATTGTATTATTGTATTTCAGAACACCTACAATGGCAGGAGGCCTTTTTTCAATAGACAGAGATTACTTTCAGGAAATTGGAACCTATGATGCTGGAATGGATATTTGGGGAGGAGAAAATCTAGAAATTTCCTTTAGGGTAAGTTCCCCTTAAAAAAAGTAAGTCATACTTAACGTCAAACATAGATAGACCTAAATCTTTCATGTTGTCTCTAAATAAAAGAAAATGTAATTTAATATTAAATTGAATTAAATTTAATATTAATTTAATACTACTCCAGAGCCTTTGTCTCTTAAAAAGTTTGTTGATGCTGTTAAGAGTTCATTATAAGGGACCGGGGAGATGGCTCAGTGGAATAAGCACTTCCCTGGCAAGCGCAAGGGCCTGAGTTCGATCCCCAGTTCCCCCAAATAAAAAAAGAGTTCATTATTAAAATTCTTTAAGCAAATAGTCCAGTTATCTTAATAGTCTGACTACAAAATGTATACAAGAGTCCCTACTTGTTTTTAAGTTCTATTTTCAGTGAAGTAATTCAAGCCCCCCCCCCAAAATAAACAAAAACTAATAAGTAGTTTATATGTGCTGCTCTGGAACTTAACTGCCAAAAAACTAGTTATCACGATCCACAATATGTTTTTTGTTTGATGTGAAAATTGTTTCATATAAAACCAGGTCAGCAAAACAACTCTGAAATGACTTTAATTCAACTCACTTGATCTTATATTATAAAATCCTTTGCATTTCATGGCAACTAAAATCAATGATTGTTTTTTCCTTGTTCATGGGACTGGGGATTGAACTCAGAGTCTTCACACAGAGCTATCCACCAACGCTTTTTGACACAAGGTCTTGCTAAATTGCCAAGTCTGGAATCAAACTTGTGGTCTTCCTGCTTCAGCCTTCCAAAGTGGTATGATAGCAATCAGGCATCACCACCATGCCTGGCTCTAACAGATGTAGATGACACTGTATATTCTTTACTAGTCTGATACGTAGCTTCTTACGGTGAAAGCTACCCTGACATATATCAGCATCTGAGTGTAAGCTCATACTCAGTGAATTCTAACGTGTTATAATCCAGGGAAAACTTGAACTAAATATTTAACAAAAAACTTTTTTCACAATGCAATTTTAATTGTGAGTAGCTGTGAGATTTTTTATTTTAAGGGGAAGAATATATTTTAAAAGGAAGAAAAGATTATATTATACTAAGGGTGTAAAGCCATAATTGGTGATGTTTTTCTTTTTTTTTTTTTTTTTTTTTTTCAGTATTCTAATAACTACAACAAAACATGCTATTTGTCTTACTGAGAAAGTCATGGTGGGTCTGGTTTAGACTTCTAGATTCTGTTTAATGTATAAGCTGTGACACAGGTTTATAGAGATGGGACAGAAAAGTATCTTGCTGAATGTTCCTTGGCTGTATTTGTTTTAAAGCCATCCACCACATTGTAGGGTACATCATATCTCGTATGCACGCTAAAAGTGAACATTTTCTGAGATAGATGTTCTCATTAACAAAGGCTGGTCACAATTCAGCAATTGGAATTTATGATCTTCTTACAAGTCATAGCCTGCATTTAGAAAAATACTGCTCTATATTTTTCATCTCTTCTGTATTTAGTCTTCAACCTACCTTTTCTGTATTTTAATCTACTTTTGGTTTGATCAAAAACAAAAATGTAGAGCAGCATTTGTTCCTCCTGAGGAGGTACTCATTCTGTAAGAACCAAATAGTCAGAGCCCCACTGTATGCCTTGGAGTCTGTGGAATTCTCACTATGAAACTTAGTAGATATCAACAGTGCTGATTTAAGCTATCAATGTATAATACGGTCTTCTTTGTTGTTGTTTTCAGATTTGGTAGTGTGAAGGTACTTTGGAATTTTTTGTGAATAAGTACAGGTTTTCCATTTAAGATTAAATAAAAACCTATTCTATTCAATTGAAAAGAAAATGCCATAGGAAGACTGAGATGAACTTTTCCTGGCTATCAAGCAGTGTTGGATGTAGCCTTGTCTGCTGTTGTTTTCAGATCTGGCAGTGTGGAGGGACTTTGGAAATCGTCACATGCTCGCATGTCGGACATGTGTTTCGGAAAGCCACACCTTACACCTTTCCAGGAGGCACAGGGCAGATCATCAATAAAAATAACAGGCGACTTGCAGAAGTATGGATGGATGAATTCAAGAATTTCTTCTATATAATTTCGCCAGGTTAGTTTATTTTGCATCAGAAATACAAGGTTGGGGCTGGGGAGAGAGCTCAGTTGAATAATTGCTTGCCTGGCAAGCACAAGGGCCTGAGTTCAGTCCCCGGCTCCACAAAAAAAAAAAAGAAAGAAAGAAAGAAAGAAAGAAAGAAAGAAAGAAAGAAAGAAAGAAAAAAAGAAATACAAGGCTGTGCCTTTATTGTCCTGAAGCTAATGTATTCTGAGGTGAGGCAAGAAGGGTAGAGGCAAAGCTTTGATCTGAAGGGAACACTTGCCTCATGAAGTCATTGTAAGAAGTAACAAAAGCTCAGTGTAGAAAGTGCGTGGCAGATGCCCATTGTGTCCTGAGCAGTGCTCCTGAATAATCCAGCAGTTTTGCTAGCCCAGGTATTACCCATGTTTTTTGTGTTTTAAACCTAATGTCATTATTTGACATTTTATTTCTGTGAGGTTTCATATTAATTTTCAGATATTTTCTTTGCTTTTGTGACTTTCTGGATTCTTGGCTTTTTCATCCAACATAAAAAAAATAATCACTGTTTTGACAGTGGATCATGAGCATTCTCCATAAGCAGGCCTTAGATGCCACCATCAAGGCTTTCATCACGTGTCATAAGGTCAACTCAGAGCACTGTAGCATGCGCCAAGGAGCTTTCTGTGCTCTTCAGAGTTTGCGAGAGCTGTTGCTTTTCATCAATTATGCATCTGCCTGACATTGTTGTCCTGTTCTCATTTTTCAGTTGCTACAAAACTACATAGTGGCAGTGTGCACAGTTGAGTGAATTGTGTTTGAGAAACATGATTGGAAACAATTGCTCTGTTTAATAATTAAACAAAATAAATCTTGAGTTATGTGTATGTGTTAGCCTTAACATATGTTTTCACGTAGGAGTATTCTCACGTAAACCTTGCTTTGAAAGATTAAATGACATCTTAACATCTTTTCTTTGTTTCATGCTTGGAGGTAGAGTCATGCATGCCACCAGCATGTGTATGGTACATACAGTGTAGAGTGATGTATACACATCACTCAAATGATGCTACTTTTCTTTTCCAGCTGTTCTGTTAAATATATACGTCAGTTTGTACTACCTAATAGACTAAGAATAATTCAAAGTTAATTATCTCTTTCAACAGGTGTTACAAAGGTAGATTATGGAGATATATCATCAAGACTTGGTCTGAGACACAAACTACAATGCAAACCTTTCTCTTGGTACCTAGAGAATATATACCCTGATTCTCAAATTCCACGTCATTATTTCTCACTCGGAGAGGTAAAAACATATATATTGTGTTTTTATTACGCTGTTACCTTCTTATAAAAAGGGATAAAATTTCCAGTCTCCACTGTACCTGCTTAAAAGTACCTTCAAATTCAAATTACATGACCTCATCAAGTGTGGGAAAGTTCTAGAGTCTGCTTCATAACTTGAAATCTTCTGATTTGTTTTATCATTCTATAATTAACTATTTTTTTTTTTAGTTAATTAAAATAACAGCGCTCTATCCTTGACTTTAGGCTCTTGCTTGGAAAGTAGCACTTTTGTTACCACATAGCAGTGTCATCAGCAGGCTTGTTATTTTAACAAACCCATTTCCTTGAGGTCATATACTTATAAAGATAATATCTTAGCATTAGTCCAAATGAAAGCTTGAGAAATGTCAGTCATAATAAATTGCAAAGAATTGATAAGGAAATTTGAAAGCCCATTCATAATAAACTGTATTTTGGGCATAGGTTTATTTTCCTTTGGGAGTTTTTAATCTCTCTGGGCAGGAAAGTTGGAAAGAATGGTGATTCCTTTAATTATTTCTCTTAGAATTCAGCACTTTTTTTTGAAACCTGAAAATAGTGTATTTATTAATGCTTATAGTTAGAGTTGTGCCTAAATCTTTTTATCCCGATGAGTATCTGTACTATAGATTCGAGTATGAAGAGGCACTTTCACTCTTCTCTCCTGGTGTAACTACCAGGGTGGTCACAGGAGCTATTTATTTCTTGTGCTGTCTTCCTAGAATGTCAGTAACATCCATTTTGTCTTCTAGCTTGACCTCTGCTCTATATATAGCAATCCAAATAGTTTCTTTCATTGGCCCAGAGAGTCTGGGGTTTTGTTTTGTTGTGTTTTGCTTTGTTTTGTTTTAATATTCTGAAATGTTTATTTGCTAGGTCAACATTCTCCCAGAAACCTGAGTTAATCCTTTTCTTGGGAGAAAACATGCTGTCTTCATGTATGGCCTTATTAAATAAGTTTTACTCTCTTTTAAGTTAGTACTTTCACCATTTTGCAGTTTAACTGATTTTTCTCTATCAGTTTTTAGAGCAGAAGTATTGGATGTTATATATGTTTCGAAGCTGTGCTTTTTTTTCCCTCCTCCTCATTATAGAATACTCCATGCTATCGGACCATAAAGCTTTGAAGTATTATCTTCTAACTCCCCGATAACCTTCTTTGTACTAGTTCAAGACAGTGGTTTTCATCATGACTTTGTAATGGATTATACATCAGTTTAGCTGCTTATAACCTCCATTTTTAGTAGTTAGAAAAGAGCCTATCCAAATACATTGTTTACAGTAAAAGAATTTTATTTTACTACGTCCATACTGTAAATTTTTTTACTATCAGTTACGATTTTTTTAAAAAGTTGGAAAACCACTGTCTTTTTTTTTTTCAACAAATAATACACTGCATATATTCTTCTTAGTGGTTAATTGCTGTACAAGATGCGGACTTGTGATCCTATTTACAAACACCATTAGAAC